TCCTCATGCTCCTGCTCCTCCTCCTCCTCCTCCTCCTCCTCCTCCTCCTCCTTTTCCTCCTCCTGCTGCCTCACATGGTCGCAGGCCGCGGCGACACCGACGGCGAGTCCGGCTCAACATGACAGGGCCTGCTGCCGGGCACTGCACCCATCCCTTCCGCACCCACTCCGCTCGTGCCGACCCGGGGGCGCCCGCCCGAGCGCGGCGGCGGCCTCGCGCGGCAGCGGCCTCGCGCGGCAGCGCCGCGGGCTGGCTGGCAGGAGCGGGCCCCGACAGGCGGGTCGGGCGGCCCTTGCGGGACGGGAAAATGACCACAGCCACTGCTTCTCGTCTGCAACCTTCCAGCCGGCCGAAAAAGAAGCAGTGGTTGTGGTCATTTCCCTGGTGCCAAGCTCAACGAAAATGACCACAACCACTGCTTTGTTTCTGCTGGCTGGAAGGCGGCAACAAAAGAAAAGCTGTGGCTGTGGTCGTTTTCACGTCCCGTAGCCCTGCCCTGCTCTCAGGTCGGGCCTGCCCCCCTACACAGGGGGGCTTCGGACTACAGGCAGAGGATACCCCGAAAGACATGCTCCCCAAATCAGCACAGAATATGCCAGAAAGGATTCGTCCCCAGACTATCTGTCTGACTGTCTGTGAGCTTCGCCCTGCAGAGGGGCAGGGCCCGACGGAAGCCCTGCCCTGACCGGCGCGCGCCGGGCGGGCGGACCCCCATGGGCGGGGCGAGCGGCCGAGCCGAAGCAGGCGGGCGGGCGTCCCAGCGCCGCGGCTGAGGGCGGGCCCCGCCGGGCAGGTCGGGCGGGCGGGCCCCGGCGATCGGGTCGGTCGAGGGGGAGGCCCAGGCCAAGAGACGCCCTGCCTGCCTCCAGGGTGCCCTGGGTGTCTTCGGCATCGATGGTCTGGGGTACCAGCGGGGGGCCCCTGCCAAGAGACGCCCTGCCTGCCTCCAGGGTGCCCATGGGTTTCTTCGGCGTCGCAGGTCCAGGGTACAGTGGGGGGCTTTGTGCCAAGGGACACCCTGCCTGCCTCCAGGGTGCCCTGGGCTTCTTGGGCGTCGATGGCTCTGCCGCGGGAAGCGCGGCGCTCCCACGCCAAGAAATTCGACGGACGTCCGGGGGTCTCAGGGCTGGGTTTCTTGTGGCCGGTTGCTCGTGGTCGGGCCCCCGCTGCAGAACAGGGCGGGAGGGCTTCCGAACGGGCGAAAGGGGCAGACCCTCGCGGGCGGGTCGGGCGGGCAGACTCGCACCTTCGAAGCGGAGAGGGCCCAGACGGACGGGTCGGGCGGGCTGGGCACTGGGGCGAAGCTCACAGATTGCAGGAAGCCTCGGGCGAGAGCACGAGCCCCGAGTAAATCTGCGAGGAAGTCTCGTTCGGCAGCGCGACTCCCGGGCGTCGATGGCGCAGCGCCCTCACAAATTGCAAGGGGAGGCTCGGCGAGAGCTCGCTTCCTGAATTGTGAGGGGGTCTCGAGCGAGAGCTCGACTTAGAACAAAAACGCAAGAAAGCGTCAGGCGGGAGCCGTTGTTGTAAGCCGGGGGGTCAGGGGCGCAGTTTGAGCCTCAAGACTCTCCTTGCTTGCAAGCAGGGTACGAGCCCTGGGGAGGGCGGGGGCGCTGCGGTTGAAAAAATACAACGGGCACCAGAGTGAGGCGAACAACTAGACTTATCGAACACAGAAAACTCAACGAAGCCAGACAACAAGTTGGTATTCCCAGAAGCGGTCCTCCAGCTCGCCGTTTCTCTGCGTGTGGGAAAGAAACAACCCACTGGTTTCGGGGGTCGTGTTGTGCTTGCTGCGCCTTTAGAAAAGCGCGTTCCACTACTCACAAAACGCCTGCTCGCAAATGGCCTGGGCCCGCCGCGTGGGATTTACAGTCCATTACATAAGAGGAAGACATGTTTTTCTCGGACGTTTGCGATGAGGCACTTTGCGAGTACACTCGACCAGGATAGTAAGGACGCGCGGTAAGGATACAAGGGCCTTGGAACGCCATGTTGACGTTCTCCGCGCGGAGCGCGGCAGAATGCCGAAGGATGCCGAATAGCGGAGGGGCAAGGATGCGGGGGTAGCCTTGGAGAGTTGCCCCGTCCTTGCTATCGTGGTTGACTGTAGCGGAACGCGCTCGGTGAGCCTTGATCTTCGCTGTCCTGTTGTGGGGCGTCCCGGAGGGATGCGCACCACGGTGAGGGCACCGCGTGCCGGGGAGGGGGTAATTAAGGCGTGGCAAGCGGCACCTTCCGAGGCGGAGTCCCATCCGACAGGGGCCGAGGGGCACGCAAAGAAATAAATTAACACACATCCCAGGCGTCCCTATGCTTTCCAGTGTGTTCAGGGTTTTCAGGGTTTTCGTCTTCCCCCCCACTTCCCATATTCTCCCATACTTTCCTGGGAGTCGTCGATGTATTGTGTCTGTGTGCTTTTCTCCTCCTGAGCCGCGAGGGTACAGCGTGCCGGGGGTACGCGCGGCAAGCAGCGCCTTCCGAGGCGGAATCCTATCTGTAACGCGGCGGCAGGCTGCCCCTCGGCAAGCGGAGTGCTGGCGGTCGCCCGCTGCTGAGGAGCTCGCCTGTCGTGCAGGATGCGCAGAGGCAGTGCCAATTCTTGAGGGATGAAAAAACGACCCCACCCTGGGTTACAAGTGCGTGGTCTGTAAGCCTCCTGGGAACCCTCAAAGCATAGAGCCGCCAGGACGCGGCACATCGCGCAGGGTTTACCCTGTCAGCCCACAGGAGTTTCAGAGCACAGCGCCTCGTAAACCAGGGTAGGGGCGTTTTTTCTGCCCTTGAAATTCCTGTACTGTGCGAGTCTGCAGCGCACCTCAAAGTTGCGCAGCCAACTGCCGATGCTGTGCCTTGGCTGGTCAGGCTACCTGGAGGTTGGAATAGGTGCACGTCTGACACGTAAGAATTGAAACGCTCGTGAAATTTGTTTTGTACAGTGTATGCGATGGTTCCGTCGGGATATCACACAAACTCCAGCTCTGCAAAGACAGGCGAATGGTCGCTTCCAGCAGAATCGCCGATGCCCGAACTGAGCAGTCGGAAGTGCGGGGTCGAGAAGAGGACGAAGTCGGGCCTGTCATACTTGGCCAAGGAGAAGCCGTTGTCGAGAAGGTGCCGCATCCCCGCCTCGTTCACGCCGAGGTTGAAGTCGCCCGTGATGACGACGGGGTCCCGCAGGGCCCCGCCTCGTGTGCCCGCCTTCTCCCTGATGAGGTTGACCATGTTCCTCGCCCCAGCGAGGCGAGTCTCCCAGGTGCAGGTGTGGCCGTTGCCGTTGTGAACGCACCAATGCGTGTTGAAGTGCCAAATGCTGCGGCCGGTGGGCTTGTGCGACACCCGTGCCCACGTTGCGTAGCGCGGGCCCCACTTCCCCCTCGCCTGGAGGTCCTGGTATCCCGTAGCCCCAACATCGCGGGACACCTCGAACAGACCGCCGTCGACGAAGGTTCCTTGGGCTCCAGCGAAGGAGGAAGCGGGCTGGTAGCCGGTGCTCTGCTGGACAAGCGACGGGTCGTCGCACTCCTGCACGCCCAGGAGGGCCGAGCCGAGGTTATCCCGGATGTTCCTCAGGACGCTCTCGCCAGCAGACCAGCGGTTGCTGCCAAAGGCATTCCACCAGAAGAGGTTGTAGGTGACGACCCTGACCTTCCCCGCCGAGGCTGGCGCGGTGGTCGGCTGGGCAGAGGCGTCGCAGCCGCCGCCAGGTGCCTTGAAGTAGGTCTGGCACTCGCCCTTGGAGACCGTGGCCTCGCTGCCAGCGAAGGCCCTGGCCTTCATCCAGCACGAGCCCCACTGGGGGCACAGGGTGATGCTGCGGCAGTCCGCCCTCCCGTCGCAGACCGCCCTGCACTCGGCCACCGAGGAGGTGTAGACTGTCTGTCCCACTTGATCCCCCTCGTCCGCTGCCAGCCCAGACAGTTCCCTCCAGCACACCCCCACGCTCACTGGCGATGGCCCTGGGGCCGACGACTGGGTCGGCGCTGGGGTCGACGCCAATGTCGGCGCCAGGGTCGGCGCGCGAGTGGGCGCCCAGCTCGGTGGCGGCGCGCCCTGGCAGCTCCTACGGTACAGGGTTTTGCACTGGCCCTTGGACACGGTGGCCTCGCCGCCAGAGAAGGCCCTCTTCTTCATGTGGCACCCGTTCCACTGCGGACAGAAGCTAGCGCTCAAGCAGCCCCCCTCGGCCTGTAGAGGCCTCCTCGATGGGGTCGGAGTAGATGGGGTCGGAGGATCGCGCCGCATCGCCGATACATCGGCGATGCATCGGCGGTGTATCGGCGATACACCAGCGATGCATCGTCGACGTCGGCGATGCCTCGGCGACGTCGACGAGAAGCAAATCGGGCTCTGCGTCGAGCTGCACCGTCGGTGCATCGGCGACTGCGGCGCGATCCTCCGACACCATCTAATCCGACCCTATCTGGGAGGCCTAGAGCCTAGAGAGGAGGATGAGAAGGGGAAGAGGAGGAGGAGGTTGAGCAAGTACCGACCGTCCCGGCCTTCCTATAGGCCTATACCACGACATGTTCTAAGAACCCAAAGCTTCCGAATCACAACAACTATGTTCTTATAAAATAAACCCGCTGTGATAAAACAAGACCGTCCCAGTCAGAGATGATCTAAGAACATATCGTGCAGACCACAAAAGGTTCTTAAAACCATTACTTGGTGGGCTTATAGGCGAGCCAGGACGCTTCGCCACTGCTTGAGGAGGAGGAGGAGGAGGAGGAGGAGGAGGAGGAGGAGGGAGGAGGAGGGAGGAGGAGGAGAGGAGAGAGAGAGGAGAAAAAGGAGGAAAAAGGAGGAAGGAGGAAGGAGGAGGGAAGGAGGAAGGAGGAGGGAGGAAGGAGAGGAGGAGGAAGGAGGGAAGGAGGAGGAGGAGGAGGAGGAGGAGGAGGAGGAGGCGGGGGAGGAGGAAGACGAGGAGGATGAGGAGGCACTTGCCCTCCGATGCGCCTGGCAGGCCGCCCGGCACCGCTCCTCCGAGGAGGTCCAGGCCACCCCGGCGTCCTCGCCCTCCTCGGCGGCCAGGCCCGGGAGCTCGCCCCAGCACTCCCCCGCGGCCGGCGGGCCCGCCGCGCCGCCGGCGGCCCCGCCCGCGGACGTCGGGCGCCGCTATAGGAGTGCCCCCTGGCCCAAGGGGTGCCCCCCAGGATTCTCGGGTTGGCCCAAACGGCCTCCAGAGCCTCCCTCACCTGGAGGTCAAATTCTGATGTTTCACTGGTCCGAAATCTGGCTTACTCCGGCTTGGTCCCGCTTAATCCCGCTTAATCTGGCTTAATCCCGCTTAATCCCGCTTAATATGGCTTAACCCCGCTTAATCCAAGGTGCCCCCAGCTCTCTTCGCTCCACTTTGGGAGGCCCTGCACTGGCCATCGCTCGGACGTCCGTTCCCTGTGCTTTTTTTATCGGGTTCGTGCGTGGTTTTTTCGCCAAGTGATCAAGGATGCTCCTCGATGGTCCTCGCCGAAGGAAACATGCACACGTCCGAGCGATGCCAAGCCCTGGCCCAATGGTGCCCCCAGCTCTCTTCGCTCCACTTTGGGAGGCCCTGCAGTGGGGCTCCCTGGTCCTCGTGAGGTTAGGAGGCAACTGCTGGGAGGCTTTCGTCGGAAAGATTCAAGGAGGATTAGGCCCCATTTGGGAGCTACTACGCTGGACTGGGCCTCGGATTAAGCGGGATTAAGCCAGATTAAGCGGGATTAAGCGGGACTAAGCGGGACTAAGCCGGATTAAGCCGGACTTCGGACCAGTGAAAAATCCGAATCTGACCTCCCAGGAGTTGCATCCCAGGTGAGGGATGCTCTGCAGGCCGCTTGGGCCAACCCGAGAATCCTGGGGGCACCTGGGGCCAGGGGCACTTCTAGCGACCCCCGAGCGGAGGAGCACGTGCAGAGCATGTCCGACGTCCCCGCGATCTCCGCGTCGCACCGGGCCTCGTACAGCACGCCGCAGCTCTCGGCGGCCTCCTCTCTGAGGAGGAAGCCCAGAGACATGATCGCGTCGTTCGAAAACATCAGGGCGACGGCCAAGTTTTTCGCCATTTTTGGCCCCCTCGCTGGGCCCCGGGAGCGTCAAAAAACGATTCAAGATGAAAGACCGGTCCCGGGCAAAGGGTCGGGACTTCCGGCGACGCCCCACTGGAAAAATCAGGACGTCGCGCCTGGGAAAGGTACCCATTCCCGCCGCCCTTCGCCTCGCTTCCCCCCCACTTTTGGAGGGCGGGGGATTCTGGGGTGGCGGTCTGGGGAGCCACATTTTTTCATTTTCGGCCTCTCGCTGTAGCGCCGCGCACATTCTCTCCAAAATCTGATTCTCGCCTTGGCGCCGCGCACGTTTTTTCTTGTTGGGTGGGGGGAAGTAAGTCCACTGGTGGGCCAGTCACCCCAGGAGGGGCCTCCCGGGAGGCCTTCGTCGCCACCGTGGGGTTCGTCCCGAAGTGCTGGTCAGAACGCCCCCCCCCTGGAAGGCACGGGCTTCGTGTCTATTCGACCGCGCGGTTCCCTGACACTCTGCGCGCGTGCCTGTTTTTGTTGTGTCGCGTATAATGTGAATTACAATGTTTCGTTGTTGTATTTGGTGTTTTTCAAAATAGACATACTTAGACACGTCTAAACAGGCTTATACATTGTTTTGGACATGATCAGACACGTTTAGACACTTAGTCTCGGAAAATTAGACACGAGTGCGTTTTAGACGCGGGTAGACGTCACGTTTAGACATGTTGAGACACGTCTAGACGCGTTCGAATTAGACACGGATAGACACGGAAGACGTAACAACGCGTTTAGACACGAATCAGACACCCATCGAACCATGCAGATACTGACAACATGATAAACAGACATGCGCGCATGGACGTCGGGCAGTGATTTGCCCTGCGGGGGATCCCTCGCAAAGCAAATCACTGCAACTCTCTGGCAGCGTGAGATGCGGCAACTAATGTGGCTGTGAGGAAGTCCCAGGTGAAGTGAATATCTCCTGACAGCATCTGCACGGTGCACAACCATGGTTGTCAGGAAATCTCAAGCGAAATCGTTGCTCTCCGACGGATGGAGATGGGGCCAGGTAATTTCTGTGAGGAAATCCGAAGCGCAATCGAGACTATCCCGCTGCAAAGATAATTTGTCCAGATCCTCCTCCTGCTCCTGCCCCTGTTGCTGCTGCTGCAATTGTTGCTGCTGCTGCTGTTGTCGCTGCTGCTGCTGCTGCTGCTGCTGCTGCTGCTGCTGCTGCTGACTCCTCCTCCTCCTCCTCCTCCTCCTCCTCCTCCTCCTCCTCCTCCTCCTCCCTCCTGCTTCCCTTCCTTTCCTCCCCCTCCTTCTCCAACTCCTGCTCCTCCTTCTCCTCCTACTCCTCCGACCCTCTTATCATCTTTCTCTGGCCGATCAACAACGCAGAAATGTGCGATATCAGGCACAGTCAGAGCTAAATGTTCATGCCGAGCTGCTTCTGGCACATCAATGCGCGTTTCCGATGCATGGCGTGTCGTGTGTT